ATAGACTTTCAAATTTTATAGATGCGGACCATTTGGTACGACAAATTATTTAACTCTTCAAGAGAAAAAAAGAAGAGAAAACGCATATACTCTCTTCTTATTCTTTTTGAGTATAATTTCTGACTCTCTTCTTTCTCATTTTCTTTTCTCAAACTGTATATGTTATATCTTGGCACCTACCGATCCAAGTGATTTAATTTTGGTTGATCAAAAAGATAAGTATAGTTTAAACATGTAGCATAGTTGTGTTGTGTTGGCAATGTTGTGGAAAAAAAATGATGTCAACACATAGTTTAATTAAAAAAATATTTCAATTGCATAGACGATAACATGAAAAACCAACAAAAATCTATGGGTTTATAATAAACTGAAATCCAAATCCGACGATTTGATTCGTTAACATAAGATTTGTTACTCCAAAGTCCAAATATAAACGAAAGCCTGAAATCAACGTGCTTTTTTTATTAAACTAATTCAACAAACAATTGGAAATTTTAATGTTTTGAAATAAGAGAAATTTCAAAAAATGCCACTTTTCAAGTGTCACTTTACAAAAATATCACATTTTTAAAATCTTTATAAAAATGCCATTTTTTCAAAATTATTTTTTCTTTATATGATTTATGTTTGGGTTAATTATGTTCTATTAGGGTTTAGTTTTGAGTGTTTAGGGGGTTTTCGGTGTCAAAACATTTTTTAGGGTTTAAAATTTTAAGATATAGGCTTTATAAATCTATAATTAGTGGCATTTTTGTAAATGGACATCCCTAAATGGCATTCTTACAAATGTGCACATAAAAAGTGGTATTTTTGTAATTGCTCCTTGAAATAAAAGGTATTTCTTGTATGATATCTCTAGATCTAAATTCAAAACAAAGCTCTTGTCAAATATACTAGGTTAGGCCCCGATGCAAAATATGTTTGTGAATAATATTTGAATGTTTGTGATTAATGTTTGATTAATTAGTTTAAAAAAATTAATATTGTAAAATTAGTATAGTTTAAATTAATAAAATAATAATAAAATAATCGAATACAAATATTTTATGAATTGCTATACGAACTTTCAAATCGTTTTATATATATATTTTATGAATTTATGATTATCTTATATAAAAATGTGTTTCACATAATGATGAACTAAACACGTAGACCAAATTAAAATTCAAAAATTAGAACATGAACTGAATTATATAATAATTCTTTATTAATTAAATTATCTAAAACGAGTTTGAATTATATGACGCTAGATAAGTAAATTTATGGTAAATTAGTAAATATTATTATTTTATTTATATATTTAATAATTTGTGAATTAGTTAGTGATTTCTAATGTTCTAATCATATTATTTTTAAAAATAATAAGTTTTTTATTTTGTCTAAATAGATATTCAATTTTTGGTTAATTTAGTGATAAGATGTAATATTACATTTTTTGAATAATTATTTTAGACAAGTTTATTAATATTGTGTTTGACAATTGAGACTAAAATAATCTTTGACTAATTGTTTTTGGCAAGTTTAGAAGTAGTCAAATGTGTCTGGCAATTGGAGTTAGTTGAAATAAGTAAGATTTGGAAATAAATGTGTGTGTTAATGGGTATAAAAAAAATTAATAC